GAGAGAGAGAGAGAGAGAGAGAGGAGAGAGAGAGAGAGAGAGAGAGAGAAAGAGAGAGGGGGGTAGCTTTCTCCTATCCCCTCTTATCTCTTAACTCTCTTTCTCCCCTTTCACTCCTGTTCCCCACCCCTAACCCCCCTACTTCCTGCCTCCCTCCACCACCTACCTACCTTAGTGACCTTCAGGAGGCTCTCTGGGGCCATGGTAGAAGGACTTACTACTACTACCACAACTACAACCATCGACACCACAACTACAACCATCGACACCACAACTACAATCATCGCCACCACAACTACAATCATCGCCACCACAACTACAACCATCGCCACCACAACTACAACCATCGCCACCACAACTACAACTATCACCACTACCTTCACCTGAATTACTACCATCGTCACGACTACACCACAATTAATATTATCAGCACCACAATCACAACTACTACCACCACTAACCACCATCACCAAGACAGTTTTCAACAACCACACCATAACCACCATACCACAACCAAAACCACCACACTTCAATCAAAACACATCAACCACCAAACCTTAATCACAATAACCACATCTCAACCACCACCCCTTAACAACCATACACCACAATTCAACCACCACACAACAATCATCTGAGGTCAACCAGTAGGTACTCAATCACCTCAGGTCATAGTAATTAAAGTCTGACCCCTCTCTCTCTCTCTCTCTCTCTCTCTCTCTCTCTCTCTCTCTCTCTCTCTCGGAAACAAAAAAAATGAAAATAAAATTGACAAGAAGATAATTGGGGAAAATTACACATAACAAGGTGCCACCAAGAGTACTAATGGGCTGGGAGGAAGAGGAGAGAAGAGAAGAGGAGAAGAAGAGGAGGAGAAAGTGGAAGAGGAGGAGAAGGTGGAGAAAGAGGAGGAGGAGGAGGAGGAGCATAGTGGGTACAAACGAGTGGCACAGAACACCCACAGTGCCAAGATGAATGATGACAATAGTGCCACGGATCCCAGTATGGAGGAGTAACTAAGTGGGTGCAAGAAAGGAGTGTCACGAGGGGAGGGAGGAGTGCCAGGGGAAGGAGGGAGGGAGGAGTGCCAGGGGAAGGAGGGAGGGATGAAAAGCACAGGGTAGGGGAGGGAGAGTGCCACGGGGGAAGGGAGGTAGTGATGAGTGCCAGGGTAGGAGGAGGGAGGTATTCCAGGTAGGGGGGGGAGGAAGGAGTGCCATGGTAGGGGAGGGAGGGAAGAAGTGCCATGGTAGGGGAGGAGGAAGGGAGTGCCAGGGTAGGGGAGGGAGGAGTGCTACGGGGGAAGGGCGGGAGGATGAGTGCCAGGGGAGGAGTAAGGAGGAGTGCCAGGGGAGGGAGTAAGGGAGGAGTGCCAGGGCAGGGAGGGGAGGGAGGAGTACTAGGAGAGGGAGGAGAGAGGAGTACCAGAGCAGGGAGGAAGGGGTGCCAGGGGAGTAAGAAAGAGGACACAGGGTACAAGGTGGGGTGACTCGAGGTATGTTATGTGAGCACCCTGTCGCTCTGCTGTGCCTCACCACGGTGACCTGGCTCTCTCTCTCTCTCTCTCTCTCTCTCTCTCTCTCTCTCTCTCTCTCTTTATATAAATCACATTAAGACATCTGGAGCAACGTTATGCGGAGAAGTTAATAATCCCAGAATTCACTAGCAGGTTAAGGTACCATGACTTCCTCTAAAACATAACACTATAGATATTAACTTATGTCACAGTATAGTGTTTGACTGTGGGCTAAGCTAAGAGACACACGCGGGCGGAGTCTCGAGATACTTAGCCTCTCAGGGTGGCACTACAAGGCACTCACAGGGTTGGAGTGCCAGAATGGGTAGGGAAGAGTGGGGATGATGTTGATGATAACTCTCGTGGTGATGATGGTGATTGTGGTACAGGGAGTTGTGGTGGTGGTAATGGTGATTGTGGTGATGGTGTACAGGTATTATCGTGGTATTGGCGATTGCGGTGATTACAGAATTGGTGATGGTGTATTGTAACAGTGGTACCATTGTAGTAGTGGAGAGTGTAGTGCAACAGTTCGACAGCACCACTACTACCATTGTTCACCAAATGTATTTTTATTTAATATTATGATGGTTAAATATATATATACTGTACCTATAATTGTTGCTTTTACTCAGCCTCTCCTACAACACACCTTTGCCAGAGTACTTCCACCACACTGCTCAGGGTGCCAAAACAATCAGAGTTCCCTACCCCCTCCTCCTCGCTGTCCTCTTTCTCTCTCGATTCTTTCTTTTTCCTCCTCTCTTCTCCTCCCCACTCTTCTTTCTCATCTACCTCCATCTCTATTTTATCCTTTTCTTCTACACTCTCTCCTCTCTTCCTCCTCTCCCACCTCTTCCTCCCCACTCTCCTCTCTCTCCCCCTCCTCTCGTCAGGTCAGGTCAGGTCAGGATAGGTTGGGACTTATTTAACAAGAACTAAGACCCACTTGACCTGGGGTAACCTCCCACCCCTGGAGCAATCCCCTACCCTCATTAATCCCTCCCCCACCAGCACCCAACACCTCTACTCCCCACCCCTCCTCAACCAACCACCCCCCTAACTCCTCCTCCTTACCCCACTTAAGTAAAATAATATATGCCGAACAAAAGGAAAGTTCTAATGGTTGAGTCCACACACACACACACACACACACACACACACACACACACACACACACACACACACACACACACACACACACACACACGCACACAGTTAACGCTCAAAATATCTCACCAGCTGACAGTCAATTTGGCAGCTTCAATTTATTTTCTGTAATTTTGTATTTCTGACATGTTGCTGTTAACTCAATGAATTCTGGCATACGACACTTTTACTAATCTTAAAATAATAAATTAATGGTAAATAATAATAATAATAATAATAATAATAATAATAATAATAATAATAATAATAATAATAATAATGATAATACTACTACTACTACTACTACTAATAATAATAATAATAATAATAAACCCAACTATTTTTCTCAGTACATTCTGCCCCAGACGTCTCATACCATCAACCGTTTAACACTGTCATGAACCTACACCAAATATATACACCTTCATAAACTTTCTTTTTGAGAGAGATTCGATTAAGAAAAATAATACCCAAGAAAAATAATTATTCCTTACATTTAGCAGGTGATTGATACATTGGGTTAGGTTAGGTTAGGTTGGGTTTGGTTGGGTTTTGTAACGTTGTGTTGTTTTAGGTTAGGTAAAATAAGCTAGGGGTGTTAATCTTCAGGTAAAATAAGCTAGGGGTGTTAATCTTCAGGTAAAATAAGCTAGGGGTGTTAATCTTCAGGTAAAATAAGCTAGGGGTGTTAATCTTCAGGTAAAATAAGCTAGGGGTGTTAATCTTCAGGTAAAATAAGCTAGGGGTGTTAATCTTCAGGTAAAATAAGCTAGGGGTGTTAATCTTCAGGTAAAATAAGCTAGGGTTAATTCAGGTGTTAATCTTCAGGTGAGCCCCCACACACTGTACACAAGTCAGCCATCTAAACACCACAGTTTCTTTCCTCGCCCCACCACCGTTTTCAGAGATACTCGAAGGCGGTTAACAATGAATAGATACTAAATAATATATATCTATTTAATTATCTCATCTATCTTTTTTATCTTTCTATCTATCTTTTATCTATCTATTTATCTATCTATCGCCTTATGTATCACGAATTTCATCCATTAGGTACGAGGTCTATTAAGGTTAGGTCCATTAGACGTGGGGGATCTAATATGCTACCTAGACTTGGGATCCATTAGATTTGTACCCATTAGACTTAAATACCCATTAGATTTGGGGTCCATTATAATTGGGGCCCATTATACTTGGGGCCCATATACTTGGGGGGCCCATTAGATTTGGGCCCCATTATACTTGGGGACCAATAGACTAGGACTTAGACCCATTATTAGACTCTACAAATTATCTAAAGTATATCTCCATTTTTTTTTTTGGTGTGCGTATTTGTTGATCCTCTTCCTCACCTCACAAGGGCGCCTGTTTCATCCCTCCTCCATCACCCTCCACCCCCTGCCTTCATCCTCTCCCTCCCCTTCCCCCTCATCCCTCATCCCTCCCCCTCCTTCCCCTGCCCCCCATCCCTCCTCCCCCCCTTCCCTGCCCCCATCCCTCTCCCCCCCATCCCCCTCCTCCTTCCTGCCCCCATCCTCTCTCCTCCTTCCCTGCCCCATCCCTCTCTCCTCCCTTCCCTGCCCCCATCCCTCCCTCCCCCTCCTGCCCCCATCCCCCTCCCTCCCCCTTCCTGCCCCATCCCTCTCCCCCTTCCCTGCCCCCATCCTCCTCTCCCTCCTCTATCCCTCCCTCCCCTTCCCTGCCCTCATCCTCCTCCTCATCTCATACATACTACATCAACGGGACAATGCCTTTATATTCCACTCATAAAAGCTTAAACTATCTTCTATCAAGACACCTGGACCACTGGCGTAATAAGAATGAGAGAGAGAGAGAGAGAGAGAGAGAGAGAGAGAGAGAGAGAGATAGAGAGAGAGAGAGAGAGAGCACACGCTGACTCTTGAGATTAATACTGTAATACTTTCAATAAATATATCCCAAGAGACACGAGTTCTATTCCTTGGCCTGGCAGGGTAGGCTTGATCGTTCCTATACTGTGGTGTATGCCGGGCTGGGCTGGTCACTTGACACACCTGGACTACAACATGAGGATGACCACTTACCTTGTGACGACTCGAGGACAAGTGAGGTTTGGTTGACTTAACATTTAATCAAATTTAACCTCACATAATTGAACTTAACTCAACATTACCAACCCTAAGTTAATATATCCTAACCTAACTAACCCTTATCTAATTTAACCTAACCTATCCTAATCCAAGCTAATAATTATAACCTAACATAGCTTACCTCAACCTAACCTAAGCAATCATAAATTAATGTAACCTAATCTGACTTAACCTGGCGACAAGGACCAAGGAGGGCAGAACCTTACCTTGAGGAGAGAGTCGGCGGGTGTAGGGGGAGGGCCGGGGCGCCCCTCAGTCCTGCCAGGCCGCCCCTAGCTCGCTCCACTTTCAGCGGGGACACCGGCGGCGAACGGAAGTCGTCCGTGTCCGTAGTGGTGGTGTCCGCCTCGTCGTCGTCGTCAGCGTCGTTGAGCCCCTCCTCCCTGGAGTCACCAGCGCTGCCAGGGCTACTGACGCTGTCACTGTAGGAGGACACGAGTGTTAAGTGGGGTCTGTGCAAAGGACCTCTCTCTTTCTTCCTCTCATCTGTAATAATTAGTAACCACATTCAATCCCTCTCTCACTCTCTCATATTCAGTAATAACTAGTAGTCTCTCTCTCTCTCTCCGGCTAAATATATTTGTTTACTCAAAAGAGAAACATTGTTGTCGAGGTGACTTAATCTCTCTACAACAACATGGCCGCCGCCTTCACCTTTGTTCTAACTCACCAAAATAAACTGACTGGCTATGTGTGTGTGTGTGTGTGTGTGTGTGTGTGTGTGTGTGTGTGTGTGTGTGTGTGTGTGTGTGTGTGTGTGTGTGTAGAGAGAGAAAGAAGGTATGGTATTTGTGTCACACCCACCCTGAACCCCTGAAACGAACCCTAAGAGGTCAGGTTACTCTCTCTCACTCACACACACACACACACAGCGCGCGCGCGCCCCAGAAAGCAATAAAACATGGCAGGGTTTCAAAAATTGTTGGTAATGCCAATCTGGTACACAACAACAATCAACACACCTCCGGGTTAATCTGCCTCGAGGAACTTCAAGGAGGTAAGGTATTTCCAGCGCGCACACGCACGCACACACACACACACACACACACACACACACACACACATACACACATTACCTAAAAAAAATCGTATCGTCTATAAAACAAACAATTCATATCGTCTATAAACAAAAGAATTAATTTCGTCTATAAAACAATTCACATCATCTATAAAAAAAAATCATCTCGTCTATACATAACCAAAAACAAATGACAATCACCACCAAAATGCAAACAAAACACCGCTTCTTGATGGTATAAATTCAGCCAACATCTGCAGGAGAGGAATGCTGGCCGTGTCACAGCAGCTAATAAAAATCTCAGTTCAGTACCCGAAAACGAAAGTACAGGTTTCTTATTGGTTACATCTGCATGTGACCTGGTATGTAAGCACAACGCTGATTGGTCGATAGCACACCCATGCCCAGTGTCGCCAACTCTCACTAATTTCACAAGATTATCCTTTACCTAATTTTAGTTGGCTTTGGCGACACTGTAGTGGATAGTTTGGTGTCTGGGAGTAAAATAGTGCTGACTATCCTCATTATCCACTATCCCCTATCCTCACAATCCACTATTCTCATACTATCTATATCTTCATTATCCTTTATCCTCACTTTCTTCACTATCCTCCCTTTCTTCACTATCCTCTATTCCCATTATTCAATATATTCTATCCTCACCAAAAAAAAAAATAATAAAAAAATAAATGAAATGAAAAATACATTAAATAAAAATAAATGATTCAATAAATAAATAAAAATAAACAAATAAGCTGAAATAAATCCAAAAATAAAATAAAAAATATGAATAATTAGTTAACTTAAAACCCCCTGGTAAATATTATCACTAAAGAGAGTGTGTCTTTACAGTGAGGTATATATAGCAATCAACTATCACCATAATTACTCTATCTGTTATAATTTCAATTTGAATTTTATTATTTAAATTAATATATTCTCTCAATTATAACTATATTTTAAGTCTAATTTATTTTTTTATTATTATTATCAGTCTTTCACCAGAATATTATCAAGACGTAATTCATTTCATTCATTAATAATCTCAGTGCATTCATTTTCTTTCACTATGTTATTTCTCATATCAGTAATACTTTCGTTTATTCATATTTTCACGACTTTCGATATTATTAATAATTTGAGTGAAAAATAAAATAGCTTAGAACCATATATTTTTTATAAAGGGAGGAAGGAAGAAAGGAGAAAAATTGAAAGTAAGAAAGAAGTAAAATAAATCATAAATAATTAAATATCTCCACTACACGTACACCAAACCATAATAACCACAACTACAACCACCACCGTAATCCACAACAAGACTTCACCCACCTGTAGTCGTCTCCGTCATCCACAATCTCTTCGTTGTTCTGGAAGATGTCGCTGTAGCAGAGGATGAGAAGTACTCCCAGGCGATTGGCTGACTGACCCTGTGTCCCCTCGCCGTCTCGACCAACCAGGACGCGCCCCAGGACTCGGCCAAACGAATCAACGGGCACGGGGCAGCTGTAGGATGGAGGAAGGTCATTGGTTGGTCAGGATGAAATATATATACCCTAATGCCTAGTCTATTCAACTTAACGTGTGAATTCCTCGACACTCAGGACTCAGGCAAATGGATAACTTGTTTTTGAACCCGACAAAGAAAATATAGAACGAAGAATCGAATCCCTAACCTCGTTTTTTGGCCGTGTTAGTCAAGGTCAATGAAACGTCTCCACGGAATGCCTGACTGAGCGACCTACTGAGAAAATTTTTTGGCGGATTCCACAAGGGTTAACGCATCTATTAATGAGCTGTTGTTCAGTGACTCACGAACACCTGCCAAGACACTGGGGGGAAGAGGAGGAGGTGGGTGAGGCGTAGTTCAGTTAGGAGTTTTCATCATTGTTTTTCAATTTTTATTACGTAAAAAAAATGTACATGCTACTACTAATACTGCTACTAAAACTAATAATGCAGGGCAATAATAATAATAACGATAATAGTCAATTACCTTTACATTAAAAAAAATATCTTTACCAACATCATCAATATTATCATCACCATTATTATTATTATTATTATTATTATTATTATTATTATTATCATCATCATCACATTAACATTATTCTTAACCTCGACCTCATAAATTCCAAACCTATACCAGCTTAAGCCAGAATATTCTCAACAGTTGTGTGTGGGTGATGGCGCCACACTTTATGTACAACACCTGCCTCAACCTCCGCCAGGTGCTGTAACAACAACAACACTGTGACGTGACTCCTTCTTTTGGCTGACTGGTGGCTGTGACACACACACACACACACACACACACACACACACACACACACACACACACACACACCTGCACGTAGGATAAATCAACAACATGTTATCTGTCTGTCTGTCTGTCTGTCAATTAACACCTTAAACTGGGGCATGAGTGTCACCTTACTTAGCACCTGGGACATCTACGTCACATTATATTTTAATTCAGGTTTGGCTTTACTGAATACACCTCGAGGAATAGCAACATCAACATCATCATCAACATCATCATTATTATTATTATTATTATTTACAAGATACATCTGCAATATTTCCCACAAAAATGCGTATTTTTTAAATTAGGGAAAAAGGCTGATGGTAAGAGGGGGGGGAGATGAAGAAGAGAGAAAGGGAGAATGAGAGGGGGAGGGAAAAGGGAGTGAGAGAGGAGGGTAGGTATTGGGGGAGGAGGGAGACGGTAAGCAAGGTTAAACGAGGGGAGAGAGAGAGAGAGAGAGAGAGAGAGAGAGAGAGAGAGAGAGAGAGAGAGTGAAAAGGGAGTGAGAGAGGAGGGAAGGCATTGGGGGAGGGGAGAGAGGGAGAAGGAAGGAGGGAGCGTCATCTCAGGGGTTCAACGCTGGCATGATAAAACACGGTGACAGGTTTATGAGGGAGCCAAAAGCCTTCACCTGGTAAGATGCCTTAAAATATAGTGAGGAAGGAGACGAAAATACCCCCCCCCCACACACACAATAAAATACATTCCTCAAACGCAGAAAACATCCTCAGTTAAGGCAGTAATAACATCCCTCACCAGTTAACAATAGCACCGTCAGTCAGATCAGTTGAGGCGGACACAGGGTTGACTGACCCTCACCCCGCTTGACCTAGATTCAATCGTCTGGTAGAGCCTGTTTCATCGCGTGAGAGAGAGAGAGAGAGAGAGAGAGAGAGAGAGAGAGAGAGAGAGAGAGAGAGAGAGAGAGAGAGAGAGAGAGACTCAACATCCGACGGTAATTATCCTGTGTGTGTGTGTGTGTGTGTGTGTGTGTGTGTGTGTTATAGCGAAATGAGGCGATGAAAATGGTGTCCCTTATGCCAGAGTCCCAAAAATACCCACGATGAATGATACATCTTCAGGGCAGGTGTATTCACGCTACTAATTAGTTGACTTACAGGTGATAATAATGACTCACCTGACAATTAACTCTCTCCTAGCTTATTTCACCATAATTAAATACCCTAATTAACACATAGAGAACGCTAAAATTAAATACATTCTGTCAGTTTTTATAAGAACGTATCTAACAAAGGTAGAGTCTCGGTGTGAATTTAATAACACTTTTAGATTTTATTTAAGTCAACCAAATAGACGCATCAATACAACCTTCAATTACGAGGCATCTGGACCCAATTTAAGGTTGAAATAGGGTAATAGGGTTGATATTCCTTGTAAATTGAAGGGTGAGGTGTGAGGGAAGAGGGGAGGGGTGTGGGGTGGCGTTCCCTGGGTCAGATATCGACCGTACAGCTGAGAGGTAAGGGATTCAACTTTGTTTACCTCGGGGACGTAATTTCCCGTTTTTTATGTACCAGTTAACATGGGATGATTATAAGGCCAGACTGTGGTGTTTTTATTACTCAATCTCGGCGGTGACCTAATCAATGTTCTCTCTGTCTTAGTTTGTATTTTTTCTTGATTTTTAATATTTCTTATGTGATTCTTCCTTAATTATCCTCCCCTTGTCTTGAGTTATTACGACTCATATGCAATAATTTCTCTCTCCCTCTCTGATCATGTTCAATTATCTTCACTATCTCCTCCTCCTCCTCCTCCAACACAACCTTCAATAATTCGTTCACTCCCTCTCCAACACTCTCACACTACCTTTTTCCCTTCCTACAATTTCCCTCTTCACCTCCAACTCTCCCTCAATCTCTCCTATACCATCGCCAACACCTCAGTCGTCCGTCTCCGTAAAAGTAGAATCCTCCTCCACCAAAACCTTCCTCCATCCCTCTAACTTTTCTCTATTTACCTCCAATACTCCAACATACCTCTAACCTCCAACCACCACCACCATTGTCCCCACTCCAACACCTACTCCAACACTTCCAACAGACACTACCACCTCCAACCATCTCACCCATCCCCCGACACCACCACCACCCATCCCCACCAATTCCCCCAACACTTCCTCCAACACAGAACGCCCATGAACTGTCAGGAGCCTGCTGGCAAGTGTCCCAAGCCGTCATGACTACATCACCGTCTTGACAGTCATGACCCTATTATGTCAACCCTGGTGACATGTGATACTCTCTCTCTCTCTCTCTGTTTTAACCCCTTTGACATGTGATACTCTCTCGCTCTCTCTTTGTGTGTGTGTGTGTGTGTGTGTGTGTGTGTGTGTGTGTGTGTGTGTGTGTGTGTGTGTATGTATGTATGTATGTATGTATGTATGTGTGCAAAATCTAAATATAAACACAGTGAGGGGGAAAAAAATATGTTAACACAAGGGCCGGGGAACTTCGAACGACCGGCCAGCTGATAGATGTAAACAAACACACCCATTGCCAACTCCTATTTTATCTCACTATTTTTTGAACACTCCTTCTTCCTACATTACGTCACCCCGATTCTTCAGGACACTACGTCTGGATAAACGTAACTCTTCTGTGGTTAAGATTTTTACTAAAACATTTAGTCACCTGAAGATTAGACACCCCAGTTTAATTCAACTGATGAATAACCTACGCTAACCTTACCTAACCTAATCTACACTAAAGCTAACCTAACTTATACTAACACTAACCTAACTTAACCTACCACTAACCTAACCCAACTTAACACCTCATGTAACATTAGAGTGGGTAAATAATCAGGTGAAATACGCTAGGACGTCTAATCTCCAAGTTATAGGACGTTTTCCCTGACATTTATCATTATTCTCTCATCCTTCACGCTGTCTCTCACAATATATACAGTACCACCACACCCCATGTAGGTGAGGTGTGTTTATGTTCCTTTATCTTAGCCCAGGACACTACCGGTGGCTGGAGGCCAACTCAACACCAAACCAGCACCTCCCTCCCGCCCCTACCTGACACACAGAATCGAACCAGTGTCTCGTAGGTTGGTAATCCAGTGAGATAACCAACAACGCCATGGATCTCTACATGTTTTGATGCAGTTTGGATTTAATGGTTTTATTTATTATTTATGTGAGCGAGTGATGGTTTCTTTCTTAGCTGCTTGAGTATGATGCCAACCTCTGCTGAACTGTGTGTGTGTGTGTGTGTGTGTGTGTGTGTGTGTGTGTGTGTGTGTGTGTATGAACAATTATCTTCATGAGGAACGAGAGCACAGAAATAGTTACTAACCAAACAGACACACACTCAAAGGTACAGACAAACACACACACCAAAAAACACACACACTCAGACAGACAGAACCATAAGTGTGTTCTGCTAACGGGGTGTAAGAACTGTGTAGACTGTAGTGTAAGATACGACACGTGTCACTAATGTCAAAACCAACCTTTTTACCAAACTTTTTTCTTGTTCTCTCTCTTTTAGCAAGACAACAGTCCACATAGCTGTGTTATCTTGGCAGTGTGAACAGCCAGAGGTACTGAGGGGGTTGGGGCGGGGCGGGGCCGGGCCGGGTGGGAGAGGGAGCAGGGTGGGGGGAGGGGGCAGGGCCATCAAGTGTGACTAACTGACTGACTGACTGACTGTACGTAACATGAGAGCGACGTATATAAACTGTCCTTGAAAGCTCCACCCACTTTCAACTTAGCTCCGCCCAAGTTTTTTACCATCTTAACCACCAACAAAAATCCTTAGCAGTTGATTGGTTGCTGGTTGCTAAGTGAAGCGCGCCGCCACTTACTTAGCAACCAATCATCTGCTAGAATACTGGACCTTGGGATAGTCACGCTAAATTTAAACACAGACATAAACAAACAGACGAATGGAGATAACTGCTTTATCTTTCCTGAGAGCGTTAATAACAACTTACCCTAATTATGAGAACAAGGACACATATATCTAAAATAATAATAATAATAATAATAGTAGTAATAATAATAATAATAATAATAATAATAATAATAATAATAATAATAATAATAATAAAATACCGAGGAATTTGTAAATATTTTGTGACTTCTATTACCGATCTTGAAGGAGTTGTGTAAGCGGAACATAGAACATGGAGGAAAAATCAACACTTCGTCAGTAGGGGTATGTGGTTCAACTCTACGGTTATCGCCCGCCACATTTCAATACCCAGATGAATATACCGTTTTCTACACACACACACACATTAACACCACCATCACACACACACACATTAACACCACCATCACACACAGTCATCATAAACACGGGGCAGTCTTTAGCGTGTAGACAGGTTCTCGATAACCCCTAGAGAGAGGCTCCTTATCCCTTCATAAACAACAACACGCCGGGGGAGCTGGGGGTGGTGCAGGGAGTGGTAGTGAGTTGTACAGGGGGGAGGTGTTAAGGGAGGAGTGGCAGGGGGAGGTGCTTGGAGAGGAGTAGCAGGTGGAGGTATTAGCGGAAGAGTAGCAGGGGGAGGTACAGGGGGAGGAGTGGCAGGGGGAGGTACTGTAGGACTGGCAGGAGGAGGTGTTAGGGTAGGAGCAACACGGGGAGGTGCTAGAGGAGGAGTGGCAGGGGGAGGTGGCAGGAGGTGATACTGGGGGAAGGAGGAAGTGCATGACAGGGGAAAGGGCATGGCAGGGGGAGGTAAAAGGGAAGGGGGAGGGGAATGGCAGGGGAAGAGGCACGTTATAATCACTGGAGACGTATGAACCCTAGTATGAACCCAGCATTATGAACCCACTAGTAAGAACCCACTAGTATGAACCCACTAGTATGATCCCAGCATTATGAACCCACTAGTAAGAACCCACTAGTATGAACCCACTAGTATGAACCCACTAGTATGAACCCACTAGTATGAACCCATGGTAGGTAAGATAATTAATGAAATCTCCTTGAAAGTGATGTGTGTGTGTGTGTGACGTTTCTCTTTGACTCACTAAAGCTAAGAAAGAAAAAGAAAGAAAGAAATAAATAAAGTTCAAACAAGCAACCCAAACAAACAAACAAAAACAAGGGCAATAAGACACACTTGCCCAAAAAACAAATTAACCAACAAAAACATAAAATAAATAAAAACACAAACAAAAACAAAGAGAAAAACAAAAACAAAGAGAAAAACAAACACAAATAGACGAGAACAGACACTTAAGTCCACTTATTTTGGAGGGTCTTGAAGGAGAGGTGGAGACCCTGAAGGAAGAGGAGGAGGACCTGGAGGAAAGAGAAGGAGGAGGAGGAAGATGCTGAAGGAGGAAGAAGAAGAGGGGGAGGAGGAAGACGCTGAAGAAAGAGGAGGACTTGGAGGAAAGAACAAGAAGATGAAGACCCTGAAGGAGGAAGAGGGGGAGGAGGAGGATAAGGAGAGGCCTTGAAGGAGGAGGAAGAGGAGGAGCCTTGAAGGAGGAGGAAGAGGTCCTCAGCAGCTCCTTGACCTCAGTATAAGCAGCTCACCATCACACCCACACAGATCCTTCGTTGACACAGGGAGGGAGGGAGGGAGAGAAGGAGGGAGAGAGGGAGGGAAAGAAGACAAGAGAGTAGGAGGTAAGAAGAGAAGATGAGAAGGGAAGAAAAGGAATGAACCAGTTAAGGACGGAGGACAAAGAGGGAGAGAGAATGAAGGAAGATGGAGGGAGGGAAAGGGTGGGAATAAAGAGAAGACAGGTGAAGAAGGAAGGGAAAAGTGGGAAAAGGAAGAAAGGGAGGAGAGGAAGAACAGGGAGTGTAAACATGGGAGAGAGAGAGAGAGAGAGAGAGAGAGAGAGAGAGAGAGAGAGAGAGAGAGAGAGAGAGAGAGAGAGAGAGAGAGAGAGAGAGAGAGCAACGATGACGAAACTGACAAATGACCATCAAAATCTTCTCATACTTAACACACACACATATACACACACACACACACACACACACACACACACACACACACACACACACACACACACAGAGGACTGACTGAGGTACACTGTAACTCACCATGTAAACATATCCCCACCACCACCACCACCGCCCCCAGCAGGATTATCACGCCCCAGCGACCCCGTAAATCACGATAACACAGACGTACATGACAGGAGACGAGGCGATGGGTGGTGTGGGGAGGTGGGGGTAGTGTGAGGAGGTGGGGGTAGTGTGAGGAGGTGTGGGGTGGTGAAGTATGGGTGTGGGGAGGTGGTGGTTGGTGAAGGGAGGTAGGGGTGGTATGGAGAAGTAGGTGGGGGGTGGTGTGGAGAGGTGGGTTTGATGGGGAAGGGAGGTGGGGGGGTGGAAGTAGGAGGAGGCCACTCAAAACTTACCTACTGCAAGGAAACATCAAAGTCTTCGCCCTCCTCTGCCGTCATCTTGCTCACTCCTCCTCTTCCTCCCACGACTACCTACTCTTCCTCTACCTCCCACTCATCCTCCTCCACCTCCCATTCATCCTCCTCTTCCTCCACCTCCCACTCATCCTCCTCTTCCTCCAACCCAATTTACTGACCTAACTAATAAATGTATACCCCGTGAGGTTGTCTTTTTGTTTTACCTGGTCACCGTGAGCCACAAAAGTACCTCCTGAGTACTACCACGACAAGTACTTCCAGATTACTACCACTACCACCAATTAACTCCTGATTACTACCACTACTACTACAACTGCTTTATGATTACTACTACTACTACCACAACCACAACAATTAATTACCTCCTGATTACTACCACTACCACCAATTACCTACTGATTACTACCATTACTACTACAAGTACCTCCTGAACCCCAAACAACCACACAACTCCACCATACTCACGTGTTGTGGTTGCCAGTCCTCAGCTGGTGGATGAAGGCGGCGAGATAACGCAGAAGACAGAGATTGTGTATCGGGAGGCGGCGGTGAAGGAGACGACGAAGGCGGGGCACCACGGCCACACACAGACCAGGAGGACCTTCTTCTTCTTCTCCTCTTCGTCGTCTTCCTCCTCCTTCTTCGTCACACACGTTCTCCCTCTCATCGCCCTCACCTATGCCAGAGTCTGTCGTGGAGAGAAGTTAATGATAGTCAATATGGGTTAAATACACTTCTCTGACCTGACATGACCTGACCTCAATCTAATCTAATCCAACCTTGACCTGACCTAGCCCTATTCTTACACAGCTTAACCCAACCTTAATCTAACACAGCTTAACCTAATCCTAATCTAACACAGCTTAACCTAATCCGAATCTAACACAGCTTAACCTAATCTTAATCTAACACAGCTTTTACCTAATCCTAATCTAACACAGCTTAACCTAATCCTAATCTAACACAGCTTAACCTAAATCTACATTAACTTAAAGTAATTCAAATGCGAAAACACGTATGATATTAAGTTCTCTCGTGAAGGATAGTGATCCCTGGAGCCAAAGGTCGTGTGCGTGTGTAATAATAATAATAATAATAAAAGGTTTATTAATAGAGTTGCAGCCGGTGTGTGTGTGTGTGTGTCATAGTCAGGTCATGGGTACACAGTCAGGTCATATTCTAGTACACAGAGCCCGAGTCGTCGCTTGCGGGCAGAATCACTCACCTGCGGCTAACTGGAGGAGAAGAGGTGCAGAGTCTGGAGGGATTAGCGCTTGCGGCAACTCGTCCAGGAACAGCCGCAGCAGACCTGTGGCCACCGCGGAGTCTGAACCTGCGGGAAGGGTAGGTCAGGTCATACAAGGTCAAGGGATATATATTTTAGAAGCTCCTGTGGTAAAACTGTGGAGGTCAACACATTTGTGGGTAAAACTGTGGAGGTTAATACATCTAACAACATCTGACTGGGGATTAAACACCTGCCTACTAAAAACACTTGTGGTAAGAAATTAAGATAAAACACCTGTTGCCCTGACCTTAATGTATGTGCTTGATGGTAGGTAGCACCTGTCATTTTACTTACTATTCATTAATGAAGGAACATCCTACTCATCCCTACACCTGTTAATCACCTTAGTTTCGTACAACACCTGTAATTAACAAGTGTCATAAACCGCAACATCTGTATACTTTTAATGTGACACTAATCATAACACCTGTAATCAACATGTGGCACCTTTATTTAACACCTGTAGTTCGTAAATATAATTAATGACCTAATCTACTATAGAATCACTCAGTTCCGTTAGACAGAGTTTGGTCAGCTCAATTAGGTTAGGTTAGGTTGGCTCTGGTCACGTAGGTTCGTGTCATCAGAAAAATAAATGATTTGGTGTGCCAGGATAAAATGTGTCGGCCGCGCGCGCGCGCGCGCGCGCGTGTGTGTGTGTGTGTGTGTGTGGCGGCGAGAATCTATGATAAAACTATTGTGTCTCCTGCCACAGTCTCTGCAAACAGCGCGCCGAGATAACCAGAGTCCGAAATTCTCGACCCAACCCAAAGGAAACACGGTAATCAATAAACTCTCAACACACCTTGTTATATAATAAACTATTTACTGTGCGTTTATACAAATATGATCTGTAAATATTTTATGTTTATATAAATTTAGGTTCGGTAAGGTTAGGTTAGAAATGTATTGATTTTTTAGTCTTCCTTTACGGCTGAGTTTTCGGACATATTGTAGCCAGCCAGCCAGCACGCGTGGGAGAGAAGGTGTTACCCAGCGGCAATATCTCCCTCCCCACACTCACACATACATCACATTGCTCCAGGTGATAGACACAGCATCCCCCCCCCCACCACCTGAATTCACCTCAACCATGGTCAATAGTCTACCTCATTTATGGGTGAAAAGAGTTCGGTCAAAAAATTTCGGTAGATAATGAAAAACTATGGATTCAACCCAGGAGTGACGCGTCACCCACGGCGCTATATGGTCACACGTTGATATTTCTGGTCCAATAGTTGCCTGTTGCCTCCCGCTGTGTATAAAACCTCCAGGTATCCACACCCAATGGATACTTTATACCATGTGTAAAAAATAATGGTATCCAGGCGACGTTTGCTGTTATTCCTTTTTTATATCACTAACTGCGATCTTTCCTGTAGTAATTTATACGTGAAAAACTAAAAACATTTACTGATCAACGTGGTACTGCTGGTTACTGCACAATATTCAAAACCTTACCTTGATATAATATTTTTAGGTGTGGTTTTTTTCCCGGTCTACAGTGAGCTTGACGACACTCAGTGAAATTGGAAGCACTTCATATTAACGAGGTATTTACTGACCACTCAACTTTGTTATACTCAGTGAACTTATATGAAGCGTTGTGTAACATTAATACTCACCGTGTACACCCATGTAAGGTGTATGTGTGTGTGTGTGTGTATGTGTGTGTGTGTGTGTGTGTGTGTGTGTGTGTGTGTATGTGTGTGTGTGTGTGTGTGTGTATTTCAACTTGTTGCCGAACCCTTCATTGTCGCAGTCCACCCTTGTCTTACCTCACTCACCACTGCTATAAAAGACTCTCCAGTGAGCATCTCTACACCCAGTCACCACCCACGCTACACTATGCTCTCCAAGCTATCTAAACTGAGGCTCTACCTAATGACACACTCCGCACCTCAGGCAGACACAATACCTACCCCACCATCCACAATTCCTCCATGGACTTCTTAATTGTTACAACACAGCGAGGTACAAGTTATACTAGAGTCCACTCCTAACTAGTGATTTTACGGTTGACAGTAAGTCTGGCCAACATAGAAATCAAGGTAAACACACAACGCAAAAGTTACGCCATTTCAGTACACTCACAACAGCCAACTTTCTTCTGATTTGTTTTTATTTGTCCTAGGGGGGCTTTTGTCCTAGGGGGGCTTTTGTCCTAGGGGGCTTTTGTCCTAGGGGGGCTTTTGTCCCAGGGGCTTTTGTCCTAGAGGAGTTTTTGTCCCAGGGGGCTTTTGTTCTAGGGGGGCTTTTGTCCTAGAGGAGTTTTGTCCCAGGGGGCTTTTGCTCTAGAGGGCTTTTGTCCAAGGAGACTTTTGTCCGGCCCCCTGATAAATTGGTGCCGTGACCAGGATAAATTTAACTGTTATTTTACTGCTGCAGTGTGACAATCCTACCCACTATACTGACGATTACGGTAAGTTGGTGATTGATGGAATGTATAAGCAAGTTAGTTGTTTACGTTATGATAAGTAATACTCTGGATTAGCCTAACCAAGACGATCGGTCATTAGGTACAGCCTCGGGGTGGATGGTGGACACACACAGCCCATTACTCTCCATAACATAACAAGAATCAAATAAAACTATTTTCTACCCCGTCAGCTCACACGAGATGTACACCATAATAATAATAATAACCGTTTCTGTACCACGCATAGTTTACTACTGTACTGCCGCTAAAACATGAGGGTACAGTACTGTTCATTGTGGCGCAAACTTAAAGAGTCAACACAACGTTATCGTCAAGCTGTTTACAGGGCCAGCAAGTCACCCAGGCAGAACCAATGTTAGTCCCGGGGCCCGTGGACCTTGTCTAGCAGGACGCGCCTTGAAATTTAATGACTTGAAAGTGCGTCGAAATTTAATATCTGTTGAAATATATACTGTAGTGACTTAAAAGTACTGTAAAACTCTTTAAGGCATTTTAATTAAAGTATACTAATTTTTTTGTGCTTTTAAATGGTAGCTGTTTCATCTCCCCGATACTGTGAGTGTAATAATAATAATACAGTAATAAATAATAGTATTAATTATGTAACAATAATAAAAAGATCATAATTTAAATTTTTTTTGTTGAGAACTGCATCCCACACGAATATAAATTAAATATATTACATGAACCATAACAGTACGTGTGTGTGTGTGTGTGTGTGTGTGTGTGTGTGTGTGTGTGTGTGCTCATCCTCCACGCCCGCTGACCACTCATGCCTGACCGCCAAACAAGTCTTAGAAGGTCAAAGGCAAAAAACTTATGAAATCACTTCATATGAACATTAACTCACTACAGTTTTGAGGTAAAATCACTGCATTTTCATAGTAAGTTGGCCGCCATCTTGGTACCAGCTAACAAGTCTACTTCAGCATAAAGAAGAATTAATTACTCTGCTTTATAAACCTTTATTGATATTAATTTCATAATTTAGACAACTTCATTATAATTCTCTTTAATGATGATGACTGGAAATTAAAACACCCTACCCCCCCCTCCCTCCCTCTCTCTCTGCTGACCTCAACATACACCTGCCCATATATCTTTCGCTTTATTCTTTAAGTTATCATGTGTGTCAGTTTACTCTCCTGTAGTGTCCTATGGCCGAAGACACTCACGGGCTTTATTAAACAGGGAAGTATCCATCCTCTTTCTCTTTACGAGGTGCGCATTAGTGCAATCAGCTGTTGGCATGAGGTCCAGTGTGACTCAGTGTTGATATCGCGTGTCAGGGAGAATCAGCTGTTCAACAAATGGTCTGTTGTGACTCAAGGTTGACATTGCGTGTCGATGCCATCAGCCGTAAGCCACGTGCGTCAGTGTACTGTAATGTTTACATCACGATCAGCCGTGAGCCACGTGCGTCAGTGTACTGTAATGTTTACATCACGATCTGCCGTGAGCCACGTGCGTCAGTGTACTGTAATGTTTACATCACGATCAGCCGTGAGCCGCGTGCGTCAGTGTACCATAATGTTTACATCACGATCTGCCGTGAGCCACGTGCGTCAGTGTACCATAATGTTTACATCACGATCTGCCGTGACGTCAGTGTACTGCAATGTTTACATCACGATCTGCCGTGAGCCACGTGCGTCAGTGTACTGTAATGTTTACATCACGATCAGCAGTGAGCCACGTGCGTCAGTGTACCATAATGTTTACATCACGATCAGCCGTGAGCCGCGTGCGTCAGTGTACTGTAATGTTTACATCACGATCTGCCGTGAGCCACGTGCGTCAGTGTACTGTAATGTTTACATCACGATCTGCCGTGAGCCACGTGCGTCAGTGTACCATAATGTTTACATCACGATCTGCCGTGAGCCACGTGCGTCAGTGTACTGTAATGTTTACATCACGATCTGCCGTGAGCCACGTGCGTCAGTGTACTGTAATGTTTACATCACGATCTGCCGTGAGCCACGTGTGTCAGTGTACCATAATGTTTACATCACGATCAGCTGTGAGCCACGTGCGTCAGTGTACTGTAATGTTTACATCACGATCAGCTGTTAGTGACGTGCGTCTGTGCAGCTCAATATTTGCAGACCGCTGTGCTCCATGTTTACAGTGTCAAAAATCAAAAGGCTCAAGGAAAACTACCTTATTTGTACCAACATAATCATGCGAGGAGTATAATGCATTCAGAGCTGTGGGCACACAAAATATACTTAATGTTTAAATATATTGATGAAAAATGTGAAAAAGTCACGATATTCATATTATTATGCCTGGTCGATTATCCTTAGACATTCTACTATTAAAAAAACATGCAATACTAGTTGGTAGTAAGATAGATGATTTTTTAAAATTTGCCAAGGTACTTTAATAATAATAATAATATAAAGTGACCAAGTAACATTTTAGTTGACTGTGCTCGGCGTCCCACCACCTGTACACACAACAATAACCCCCCCCCCCACACACACACACCACTCTGCCAACTCGTGATCACCAAAGTGCCACCTTAAGCCAGCCTGCCCGATGTGTTCTTGAATATTCAGTTATGGAGGAAAAATTCAACACACATCTTTGAGAATTCACCTCAGGGTCACAGGCAGGTGTTACCGCCAAGCAGGTAGACGTTTTACCTGAAAATTCGCCTCCACCTTATTTTACTTGAAGACTTAACAACCCTAATGCTAACCTAACCTAACCTAACGCCAACCTAAACTAATCTACCGCTAACCTAACCTATCACTAACCAAACCTATCACTAACCTAATCTAAACTAACCTAACCTACCGCCAACCCAGCCTCGGTTAAGTTGGGGCCTATTACAACAGGGGCCCGATAGTACAAGGGCCCATTTGATCCGTTCTCTTGTAGCTACAGTAATATATCTCACAGTTCAACCTCCCTGTCTCTCCCTCAAACTCCCTGACTTTTCCTCTCCCTCAACTTCCCTGACTCCTCCTCGAGTTCAACTTCCCTGTCCCTCAACCTCCATTATCTCTCCCTCAACCTCACTGATTCTCCCTCACTAGTTCAACCTCCATTTCTCTCCCTTAACCTCCTTCTCCCTCTCTCGTCCTCCCTGACTCCTCTAGTTCAACCTCCTGTCTCTCCCTTAACCTCCTTCTCCCTCTCTCGTCCTCCCTGACTCCTCCTCTAGTTCAACCTCCCTGCCCCCTGTTTTTTTGTAATTCACATGAGGCTTCCGAGAAACCTTTGTGTAGAGTGCGTCGTAACTTCCAATTCCGAGAACAGTTAGAACAGTTGTATTACGTTCGATCAATACCAACACGAGACACCTACCCCCCTCCCCCCCCCTACCCTCACCTCTCCTTCTCTCCCTCCTCACCTCCGCCACTATTTACTAACTGGCAACCGGGTACCAACTGCGTATCAGCTCCTCATGTTGTTACAAGCAATACCTTTGTCTATTATTGGTAGCATATGTCTATTGTTGTTACTATTCGTCAATTTATTATACCTGGTTGAAAATCCGACTTGCATTTCTTTTCTATTTTGGTCTGTCTGTCTGTTTACAAGCTAATGTCTACGTTCTAAATCCTATCTTGGCTAAAATTCGTTAACAGACTGACCTCGACAATAGCTCGGGTTTAAGATATAAATTTTCGTCTACATCTGATATAAGAGGTCAAGGTCACAGATGAAGGTCACCACCCCCTCACCCCCCTACCATCACCACGCTAGAAGGCTTAATGTAACATGATGCTTGTGTGGTGCTTCACTAGGCGGCGACAACGACCACCGCACCAAGGTCTGCTGCCCTCCCTTTCCCCTTCCCCGTGTGTTTGTTGCTTGTGAGAAGTGGAGAAGAATTGTTTACCTTTCTACCCAAAAACGAAGGAGATAACCTTCTCTCTTCTTCTCCCCTTTTTCATCTTCTTTCATCTTGCTCACTTCATTTATGTCAATAGCCATGGGGAAAAATATCTTAATTTATGGATTTTGTTTCATAATTTGGCCATAGTTCAACCCAAAATACACGGACCATTGTATAAAGACATCCTGGTGTAGGTTTTAAACAGTGATAAAAAATAGTATTCGATTTTGTGTAGTTTAGACCACTTTATAGAGGTCAAAGGGTCACCACATACTCGAATTTGTGTACTTTTTACCACTTTATTGGGGTCAGAGGTCACCAAATATTCGAAATTGTTTTGTTGACCACTTTATTTGGGTCAAAGGTCACCAAATATCTAAGTTTGTGTACTTTTTACCAATTTATAGGGGTCAAAGGTCACCAAATATCTAAGTTTGTGTACTTTTTACCAATTTATAGGGGTCAAAGGTCACCAAATATCCGAGTTTGTGGATATTTGGGCCCATTAGTCCTCCGTATCCCAATCAGTTTACCAGAGACTCTATATACAGCCGTTCACTTCTCCACCATAACAACAATGTAGATAAAAGTGGAGTTTTCTCTTCCTTTCGTTTTGTCCATTTTACTGGTACAGGTGAACACAGGTGAAGAAAGGTTAACACAGGTGAAGAAAGGTGAACACAGGAGAGGAAAAGTGAACACAAGTGCGGAAAGGTGAACACAGGTGAGGAAAGGTGAACACAGGTGAAGAAAGGTAAACACAGGTGCGGAAAGGTGAACACAGGTGAAGAAAGGTGAACACAGGTGAGGAAAGGTGAACACAGGTGAAGAAAGGTAAACACAGGTGCGGAAAGGTGAACACAGGTGAGGAAAGGTGAACACAGATGAGGAAAGGTGAACACTGGTGAAGAAAGGTAAACACAGGTGAAGAAAGGTAAACACAGGTGAAGAAAGGTAAGCACAGGTGAAGAAAGGTGAACACAGGTGAGGAAAGGTGAACACAGGTGAAGAAAGGTGAACACAGGTGAAGAAAGGTGAACACAAGTGAGGAAAGGTGAATACAGGTGAGGAAAGGTGAATACAGATGAACATAGGTAAACAACGTGCCCTAAGTGGTAAAGAAGACAGGTGAGTGACAGGTGAGACAGTACCTGGGGGAGTCTCCTGTACGTCGGGGTCCACACCTGCAGCCTCCCGCTCCAGCAGTAGTCGGGTCCTCACCTCCTCGGCACACCAGTCCTCACTCACCAGGGTGTCGTAATCCACACCTGCAACACACACAACAGCCACACCCTGTAATGCTTAGTAACTTAATCCACACCTGCAACACACACAGTCACACCCTGTAACACTTAGTAACTTAACCCCCTTGAACACGATGACTTAACCCCCTGAACAAGATGACTTAACCCCCCTGAACAAGATGACTTAACGCCTTTGAACAAGATGACTTAACTCCCCTGAACACGATGACTTAACCCCCTGAACAAGATGACTTAACCCACCTGAACAAGATGACTTAACCCCCTGAACAAGATGACTTAACCCACCTAAACAAGATGACTTAACCCACTTGAACACGATGACTTAACCCCTGGAACAATATAACTTAACCCACTTGAACAGGATGACTTAACCCCCCCAAAACGATGACTTAACCCCCAAATACGATGACTGGAAATGTTATGGCACTCAATATAATAATTCACAAGTCATTGTACTTAAAGAGGCTAAACTAACGTACTCAAGAGAGGGGTTACAATACCTTTATTCCATGGGTTAATTCATCGCACTCAAGGGATTAAACTACCTCACTCAAGGACCTAATAATTCAATGTACTCAGAGGTTTGTCATCGTACTCAAGAAGTTAAGTTATACCAAGCGACACGTGTTCAGAGATACTCAATAACACATGTTTAAGCATATAATCGAACGTCAGTCACTCCTGGTAACAGTAAAAGGACGGCACAGGTGTAGTAATGAACGTCAGTCACTCCTGGTAACAGTAAAAGGACGGCACAGGTGTAGTAATGAACGTCAGTCACTCCTGGTAACCGTAAAAGGACGGCACAGGTGTAGTAATGAACGTCAGTCACTCCTGGTAACCGTAAAAGGACGGCACAGGTGTAGTAATGAACGTCAGTCACTCCTGGTAACCGTAAAAGGACGGCACAGGTGTAGTAATGAACGTCAGTCACTCCTGGTAACCGTAAAAGGACGGCACAGGTGTAGTAATGAACGTCAGTCACTCCTGGTAACCGTAAAAGAACGGCACAGGTGTAGTAATGAACGTCAGTCACTCCTGGTCCAGTAAAAGGACGGCACAGGTGTAGTAATGAACGTCAGTCACTCCTGGTAACCGTAAAAGAACGGCACAGGTGTAGTAATGAATGTCAGTCACTCCTGGTAACCGTAAAAGAACGGCACAGGTGTAGTAATGAACGTCAGTCACTCCTGGTAACAGCAAAAGGACGGCACAGGTGTAGTAATGAACGTCAGTCACTCCTGGTAACAGTAAAAGGACGGCACAGGTGTAGTAATGAACGTCAGTCACTCCTGGTAACCGTAAAAGAACGGCACAGGTGTAGTAATGAACGTCATGTGAAAATTTAAAACTAAAAGCGCTAAATATTCCGAAGCAAGTTGGAATCATATCGTAAATATTAAGTAACTCGCTGTAATTCGTCAACCTAATACTGTAATGTGAAAATGGGAATACAAAATACTGTAATGGCACTACATAAAACTCTTCTGACCACAAAATGCTTTAGTGTTTAAATCCATTTAATGAGCGACTGATGACGAAGAGCTAGTAATAACTGCAATGAGAGTGGAGTGACTGCGTTAACACCTGGTCCTCTACAGGTAACTCAGTTCATTTAAGTCACTCACTAAAATAAAACTATTAGTCACATGTAACTGAGTTTGTTCATTTAAATCACTGTCCCTAAAATACCGAATAGTGTGGTATATTTTAAGGGCTCCTTCGGGTCCCTAAAACAGGGCGAGTGGTCAGGGGAAGGAGCCCAGCACCCCCCCCAAGAACAAGGTGCTATAGACCAACTTACCGTGAGTGAGGAGGAAGCAGCAGAGGAGGTGGACCAGGGTGGGCACGCCGTGGCCATTGGTGTCTTCTCCATGGGCGGCCATCACCTCCTCCAGTGGGCGGCCCAGCACGCCCTGCACGCCCACGCCGGCGCCCTTCATGTCAGCGAGAAGAGAGTGTACGGCGTGGGCGGGAGCATGGAGAGGGTCGGGCGGGAGGGTGTTGTGGTGTTTGCAGCGGGATGAGGACCGCCCGCCCATGGACACGGCCAGGAACCTTCGGACTCGTGCCAGGGTGCTCTCCCCGCCCTCCTGGAACAAACCGCACCTACTTACGCCCGTGTGACAGCCAACTGATAGCGTCCATTTACTCTCAATTTACCTTTAAAACTCACTCACACGAAGGTTAACATAACAAGTGTTAAACCAACACCTAAAGTTAACATCTAGTCACTACAACACCTAAAGTTAACATCTAGTCACTACAACACCTAAAGTTAACATCTAGTCACTACAAGTTAACTCACTCATACACAAAAACACTCACTCACTCTCAGTTAAGCTTCAACAATACTGTAAAGCGACTTTTACTCGTGCACTTTCCAACTGATTATCTACAAACCAGCTCTTTCAAACAAGATTAAAACTTGCCTCTTTAGCTGCTGATGTGATTCTAAACCTTCATGAATGTGTTTTCGGTGTCACATGCGTCTGTTTAACTCTGATTCTCAAAATTCTGTACCTTAATTAAACCCTTAACTTGTATTGAGAGAATTCATCGAGTTAAAGTAGAGTCTCAGCATAGATCTGACGCCATTTTGAGATGCTATTTTCGTGCTGCAGTTAAGATGAAAATATAAATTAAGGAATCGCTTGAGAACTCGACCCCAGAATCATATACTCTATAAGTTTTACGTTAGAACATTACTGCAGCACTTAAGAAATACACTGACACTAAGACCATAATGGATAAGAAGTAACCTGTATCATTACCACAATTACTATCTATAATAAACTGTAATGACACAATTGAACTATGGTGAGGAACAGTTAAAAGAGGTTACAAACAAGGACTACCGTATGGGTCATGCTGAAAATAGGGCTTTCAACAGTTTTTTTGGTCTCGGAGTTTTAGTAATCAGAAAGGAAGGTAATTGGTTATAGTAATTAGAGGTACTTTGTTACATTAATCAAGGGAGTACTTGGTTACATTAATCAATAGGGTACTTGGTTACATTACTCAAGGGAGTACTTGGTTACATTACTCAATGGGGTACTTGGTTACATTAATCAAGGGAGTACTTGGTTACATTAATCAATAGGGTACTTGGTTATATTAATCAAAGGAGTACTTGGTTACATGAATCAGGATGTACTTGGTTAGAGTATGGACCATCAGTAGATTCTGAAAGCCCTGGAGGTACAGTACTGTGGGCTATGGACACAGTACAGTACATGAAAACACCACATTTTGGGGTGTGTAGGTAAGGGACATAATGATACAGAGAGAACAAAAAGTGAGAGCAGGACACAGGAGGGAAGACGGGGCAGTAAAGATGAGATAAGACACTGACCCCTGAACCAGATGACCCGAGGCTGGGCTCACTGACCTGGGGCTGACACTTGGTCTCCCCAGCACCATGCTGCTCACAACAGAACGAGGGGCGGCGCATGGCTCGGTCGCCCTGAATTGGCGGCCCTTTAGTAGACTGTGATGGGGGTGGGGTGTCCACAGAGGTCCCTCCGTGAGGTGGTTGTCGGCGGAGCCTGAGGCCCGGAGGTCTTCGGAGGTCCAAACGGAGCCTGAGGCGCAAAGATCTTTGGAGGTCCAAACGGAGCCTGGGGCGAGTTGGTGGGAGCCGGAGGACCAAAAGGGGCGTATGGTGTTCCCAGGGGGCCGGAGGGCTCTCCTGGGGCGGGGCAGCTGGTGGGCGGCTCCGTGGTTACTGCGGGGCACTTCCCCAGTACTCGTCTCACTAACGGCACACGCAGGGGGCCACTCGGGCAACTCGCTGAAGAGAAACAATGAGTCCAAGTTAGTATTAATGATGTATATAGTTGAAGCAGTAATAGTAGTACAGTAGTATCAGCTGTAGCAGTTGTAGCAGCAGTAATAGCAGTAGCAAAAGTAGTAGTAGTAGTAGTAGTAGTAGTAGTAGTAGTAGTAGTAGTAGTAGTAGTAGTAGTAGTAGTAGTAGTAGTAGTAGTAAGAGCACAAAAACAATCATAAAATCAGTAGTAACAGTCATAGTAGTAGCTGCAGAGGCAGGTGAACCCCCCAGGGACTAATACTTTTGTTAAACATCACCAAGATTTCACAAGCTTCACCTGAGACTAAAGCCACATTAATACATTTAGATTTTTCCTGCATCACCTACATACTGCTACAACACCCAACTGAGACCTTGAGTAAGACACAAGCAGTCCTCTTCCTCCTCCGTGCACCTGTCCTGGCACCTCCACCTCCTAGAGCCAAACTCGACGCTAATAAATTAACAATAATGTCATCCAGTTAGTCTTGAGTGTAAATCCCAGCACATACCTGGTGAGTCTTGATGGTCTTCACCTGCTGCCACAACTCAAGATCTAATTTTGATTCTAATTAACAGTTATAACATTATTAACCCTTTGACTACGAAGACTTGACCTGCCTTTGGGTATTCTAGGAGGTGGGGGAAATGGTTATCGTATCCAAAGGGTTAATATATCTTCGTCCTGGGATGAAGTAACTGTACTTAAGGGGTTCGATGGTTCATAAGTTCGGTGGGTTCAGGGTTCGGGTTGGGTTCAAAAGGTTCTATAACATGGTGGGTTCAGGTTGGGTTCGATGAGACGGTGGGTTCAGAGGTTTAAGGGTATTAGATCTAATCGCGGAATGACTCTCTCATACACGGAGTTAAGATACACACACACACACACACAAACACACACACACACACACACACACACACACACACACACACACACACACACACACACACACACACACACACACCATGGCTTACAGACTTCCTCAGTGACCGACGCCAAGCTGTACGCTTCCGAGGGGCTGTCTCCACCTTTCAGTCACTCACCTGTGGCGTCCCCAAAGGCACCAAGATGGGACCACTCTGCTTCCTTATGCTCATCAATGATGCCCTAAGAGAAACCCCCGCTCGCTGGAAATATGTCGACAACTCCACCATTGGGATCAGCGTCAACAATTCTACTCCCAACTATACCGCCCTTCAGGATTTATTGAACACTCTTCAAAACTGGGCCACCAACAACCATGTCACCATCAACCATACCAAAACCATGGTTATGCACATCAACCTCTCCTCCGACATTGTCCCACCTCCTTCCATTACTCTAGGTCCGAACACACTCCAGGTTGTAGATTCCACGAAGCTCCTCGGCGTCACCATAGACAACAAACTAAATTGGAAACCACACGTCAGTGAAGTTGTCAAATCCTCCAGTTTCCGTCTCCACCTCCTCCGCCGACTCAAGTCCTCGGAGTTCCTGCACACGAGCTCCTCAGTGTTTACACAACATTCATACTTCCCAAGCTCACCTATGCCTCCCCCACCTGGTCTTCCTCCCTAAATGCCACACAACGTAAACACCTAGAAAAAGTGCAAAGAGGGCATGCAAGATTATTCTCTCCCTTCCTACTCCACATATCAAGAAGCGCTCAACACACTGACCCTTTCGACTCTCACTGACCATCACCACGACCTCATCTGCAAATTTGGTAAGAAGCTTCTACACCATCCCCGACACCGGCCCTACTACCACCTGAGATCCCTTGTCCGAGAATTGCTGTTCGACACCACAACCGCATCCAGCCCATACGTGCACGAACTGATCGCTATAAGAACAGCCCAGTCCCAACCATTGTAAAAATTATCAATAACTTGTAATAAATCAGTGTATTCACTCCCAGTAAACACTGCTCCTTACACTGTCACTATGTTGAAATGAACTGTAGTTTGAGCTTTTCCCCATCTAGTTATTATATGTCTTATTTGTGTCACTTATGTTACTTGTATATTATTTGTAATTCGTAACCCATTCCCCAAATATGTAACTGTATATTTTCAGCCTTCTGGCTGCCAAGCTCAATAAACCGTTAATTATTATTATTATTTATTACACACACACACACACACACACACACACACTAAGTCCACCAACTCTTTTCTTTTCTCGCGCTCAGCTCTATGCCTTGCCTTCCTGACCTGACTGATAATGTCCCTCCCACAAGTCCCTAAAGTCCATTAACATTTGCCTTCCCCGGTTCTAACTATGCCCATCAGTGCTCCCCCGACATACCAATTGGTCCTTCCTGCAATTCCTAACATACACCTCTCATCTCAGTATATTGTTTTCAGTATTTAGTATCTTCTGGTTCTTCCCTAACATCTCTGTCTCCTGGGCGTCTCTAGCATCATTCTAAATCTCCTGCTATCACCCAACATCTTTACCTATTCAGCCCTTCCATAATATCACCCCTAATTCTTTGTCTCCTGGCTACAACATCTCCACGTCCTCCTGAGGAGGCCACCGGCTGTCCTCCTCCTCCCAGTGGTGAACTAAGTGTTATGATGTGAGGTGAAGGGTGAGGCAGGATGGGACGAGTGAGGCATTGGAACATCAGGGTTGACAGAGGAAATCAGGCAACATTCATCATGCACAACCACGAGACTACCCTGTTGCATACTGTATGTGGTGGAGGAGGGGGAGGAGAGGAGAGGAAGGAGGGAGGAAGAGGGAGGGAGTAAGGCGGGGAAGAGGTGAGGGAGGGAGGGGAGAGGAGAGTAGGGAGGGGGAGGGTAGAGATTAGAGAGGAAGGGCAGATGAAGAGGAGGTGGAAGGAAGGAGAGAGAGGAGGAAGGAAGAGTGGACAATGTGTATGTATACAAGTCATCACCTGGACTTACTAATTACAGGTACCGGACGTTACTCTATTACCCCTCAACAACAAAGAAAAACATCCAAACTTTATAACAAACACAAGACGAGAATACAAAAACGAACAAACAAACACCACGTTCTTAACCACACCTGTACATTACCGGACCAACAACCAAACAACACCTTGGGCACCTCAAGAGACACCCCTCCTGGTTCTCAAGAATATCAGGAGGTTTACGTAAGCCAATTAGAAGACGTCGCACTGCCCAGGTATACAGAACACCTTACTGGGGGAGGAGGGGGACCGATCCCTATTAGTCAAGTCCATCCTCAAGGGCTTTTATATCCCCAAAGATCTTACGTTAAAAATCCATCAATAAACTTCCATACACATCTTCCTTATTCACATATAAAAACAACGATACACTGATGCCGCTGTCTTTAATGGCGTCCAAACTAGCCAGAGACTCAGCCATAAATAAGCAAGTGTCTTCTTATATCACAAGTTAAAGGGAGAGGTATAAAAAAAAAAGCCTCTTACGTAAATTGCTTTAATAATCTGATTAAGTCAAGTGAGTATATATAAGACGTCTTGTTTCTTTCTACACACACACACACACACACACACACACACACACTCGACCTCTCTTTGTGTAGCTTCCTTCAAACAACTAACACTCATGACCAGAAAATATAATCATAGGTCATAGGTCAAGGGAGCGAGGGTGACCACTACCCCAATGACCTATATAATAGATTCCTAGATAAATAAATAAATAAAAGGAGAATTAACTTAAAGGACAACAGGGGGGAGGGGTTAGGGGGTAAAAGGGTAGAGGGGGTAAAGGGTAGGGGTAGGTGGTAAGGGGTAGGGGGAGGAGGTAGTGGATTCAGGCCTTGTGATTCTATTTTTTTTATTATCGACAAAAACATTTTAATTTGTGTACAAGATTTTAAGGATCACGTGAACATTAGACACCCTAGTTTATTTCACCCGATGATTAACTTAACCTAACCTAGCGTAACCATCCTAACGCTTACCAAACTTAACCTAACCAAACCTCACCTCACCTAACGCTTACCAAAACTAACCTAACCAAACCACACCTCACCTAACGCTTACCAAAACTAACCTAACCAAACCTCACCTCACCTAACGCTTACCAAAACTAACCTAACCAAACCACACCTCACCTAACGCTTACCAAAACTAACCTAACCAAGCCTCACCTTACCTAACCCTTACCAAACTTAACCTAACCAAACCTCACCTCACCTAACGCTTACCAAAACTAACCTAACCAAACCACACCTCACCTAACCCTTACCAAAACAAACCTACCCTAACTTTCCTTCCCCCTTCCTTCCTCCTTCCCATCCTTCCTCCTTCCCATCCTTCCTCCGTCTCCCTCTCTTCCTTCCTTCTCTTGGCTCTGTCCTTGTTGTTGTTGTGTTAAAAGGTAAGAGAGTGGGATATAAATACACCCTCCTCCCTCACTCCGCCTCAACACCAACACTAACTGGGTGCTATTGGTGGTGGTGGTGGAGAGTGGGAGTAGGTTGTGATGGTGATTGTGGTGGTGGTGGAGATTGGGAGTGGGTTGTGATTGTGGTTGTGGTGGTGGTGGAGGTTGGGAGTGGGTTGTGATGGTGGTTGTGGTGGTGGTGGAGATTGGGAGTGGGTTGTGATGGTGGTTGTGGTGGTGGTGGAGATTGGGAGTGGGTTGTGATGGTGGTGACGGGATAGTTTGGTGTAGTTGGAGAAAGTGGTAGTGGGTGATGGTGGTGGCATGTAGGGGGGGGGGGAGAGGGGGTGAGGGCAGGCACCACTCCACAAAAATTGCATCCCTCGACCAATGCACCACTCGACCACTGCACCACTGTCACCAATAGTCTAAGAGTCTCTGTCATAACAATGAGACATCGAGGCCATACATCCCCCACTTCGGTACACAAGGAGGCACCATGACCGACACTGTACTCGACCACCTTAACTTTCCCCAACTGTAAAATCAGGCACCCATTCACAGCTGGATGAACTGTGGATCTCCCGGGCGCGAACCAGGGACCTTTAGAACAAAAATTGAGCATTATATCTACTCAACCACGGCTCCCTTCCGAACGAGACAAGAAGCAGGTGATTTATTTTATGTTTAACTTCTAATTTTGATTCCATGTTTGAATAAAGTAAATAAATAAAGACTTCCCTGTAAACCTCAGTAGATACGGTTAAAACCACCCCTGGGCCTCAGTCTTCCATCCCAACTATTCCATCACATCACAAACTCTTCGGCTCCCTCCTAGGCTGTGATAAGCCTCTAGGACACAAAAAATAAATAAATAATAAAAATCTAAAGCACTAGGTCAGTCGGGCGGCGGAACACATAATAATTTCAGGGATTAATTACCAGAAGTCACCGCCACCCGCTGACAGCACCTGTATATATACCTTCTACCTGCGTGTCTCTTAATTAATTTGCTGGCGATTGTGGGTGGCTGGGGTGGTGGTGGGTGGCTGGGGTGGTGGTGGGTGGCAGGGGTGGTAGTAGGTGGCTGGGGTGGTGGTACGTGGCAGGGGTGGTGGTAGATGGCAGGGGTGGTGGTAGGTGGCAAAGGTGGTGGTAGGTGGCATGGTGGTGGTAGGTGGCAAGGGTAGTGGTAGGTGGCAAGGGTGGTGATAGGTGGTGGTGGTGGCGGTTGGTGGCAGAGGTGGTGGTGAATTAGCTTTTCCAGGGTGGTGGTAGATGGCAAGGTGGTGGTAGGTGGCAAGGGTGGTGAGGAGGCAGGTGGCTGGGGTGGTGGTAGGTGGCAGGGGGTGGTGGTAGGTGCTTGGGGGTGGTGGTGGGTGGCTGGGGTGGTGGTGGGTGGATGGGGTGGTGGTGGGTGGCTGGGGTGGTGGTGGGTGGCTGGGGTGGTGGTAGGTGGCAGGGGTGGTGGTAGGTGGCAGGGGGTGGTGAGGGTGGGTGGCTGGGGTGGTGGTGGGTGGCTGGGGTGGTGGTGGGTGGCAGGGGTGGTGGTGGGTGGCTGGGGTGGTGGTGGGTGGCTGGGGTGGTGGTGGGTGGCAGGGGGTGGTGTAAGGTGGCAGGGGTGGTGGTGTTAGCAGGTGGCAGGGTGGTGAAGGTAGGTGGCTGGGGTAGTGGTTGGTGGCTGGGGTAGTGGTAGGTGGCTGGGGTGGTGGTAGATGGCAGGGGTGGTGGTAGATGGCTGGGGTGGTGGTGGGTGTAGAGGGGTGGTGGTGGGTGGCAGTGGGTGGCTGGGGTGGTGGTGGGTGGCAGGGGTGGTAGTAGGTGGCTGGGGTGGTGGTACGTGGCAGGGGTGGTGGTAGATGGCAGGGGTGGTGGTAGGTGGCAAAGGTGGTGGTAGGTGGCATGGTGGTGATAGGTGGTGGTGGTGGCGGTGGTAGGTATGGTGGTTGTGATATTCAACCTTACACACACATCCAATGCCGTCTGCAGAATCTCAAACGTTCTCTCATTTCTTTCCCAATGGTGTGTCTCTCTGGCCTCGTGACAATGTCTCTCTCTCTGGTCTCAGCTCGTGTCTCTCTCTGGTCTCGTGCTCGTGTCTCTCTCTGGTCTCGTGCTCGTGTCTCTCTCTGGCCTCGAGTTAATGTCTCTCTCTGGTCTCTCGCTAGTCTCGTGCTGGTCTCGTGGCTAGACCAGCTGGAGCGGGCGCGACACATAACTCTCCGGACGTCTCTTTAAAGTGCAGAGGCTGAAAGGAAACTTGGGTGCCGGAGGAGAGAAAGGGGGGAGGGGATGGTGGGAGGGATGATATGTGTGGGGAACGGAGTGGTGGAAGGGAGGGAGGGAAGGGGAGATTCCGATAGGGAGGGGAGATGAAAGGTGGAGAGAGGGTGAGATGGATGGAGAACGGAATGATGGGGTGATGAGGGAAGGGAATAGATAAGATAGATGGGGAGGGGAGGTGGGAAGTGGGGAAGGGAGGGAGTAAGATAGATGGGGAGAGGTGGGGTGGGGGAGGTGTTTGGGGAGAGAATCTGACTTAGACTTTGCTGGTGTAGTGTTGTCAGCGTGACTCGTACAGTACATTTTAGGTAAATAGCACAAGTATGGTACGGGTCTTAAAGCTGGTGGCACGGGATCCATGACCTCGTTTGACCCCGAATGAGTGAACGGGCAAGTACCTTTAAGAACCACTACCACCACCTAACCTGATCAAATGTCCGTCTCATCATCCTACTGCCACTCATAGATAGTGCCACCCAACCACCCAGTCTAGTGCCACCAGTCTAGGGTACCCAGCTTGATATTGGTAACTTGTTCCACTCGTCCACTTCTCAATTTCCAAACCAATGTTTACCTATTCCGCGCCTAAATCTAAATTTGTCTAATTTAAAACCATTAATACGAGTTCGCTCCTGGTTGCATAGTTTGAGTACCTTTGCAATGTCCCCTTTGTTTAACCCTGACTTCCATTTATACACCTCTATCAGGTCGCCCCTCACTCTACGTCACTCGAGGGAGTGCAAATTAAGATGCTTTAACCTGTCTCTGTACTCAAGGTTCCTAATGCCCGGGATTAGTCTTGTCATTCTCCTCCGAATTCTTTCCAAGGATTCTATATCCATTCTGTAGTACGGTGACCAGAATTGAACTGCGTAATCCAAGTGAGGTCTCACAAGGACAAGATATAGTTTTAGGATGACCTCGCTAGTCTTGTAACTAACACTCCTTTGTATGAATCCAAGTACTTTATTAGCCTTGTTTCGAGCAAATACACATTGTTGACTTGGTTTAAGAGTCTCACTTATCATTACTCCTAAATCTTTCTCACAGTCGGATTTCTCTATAACATCGTTGTTCATCTGTATCTGATTTCTCTGTTTACATCTCCTATACTGACCACTTTACATTTGTCCACGTTGAATTTCATCTGCCATTTTTCAGACCATTCGAAAAATTTGTTTAGATCTTTCTGTAGTTTTGTGGAGTCCTCGTCAGATTTAATAACACGTCCTATTTTAGTGTCATCAGCAAATTTGCTTATGTTGCTGTCTATGCGGATATCTATGAATTTATGTATATAATAAATAATAATGGTCCAAGTACTGAGCCCTGGGGAACTCCATTAGTGACGTTGCTCCAATGGGACTTAGTGCCATTAATGCTCACTCGCTGTTTCCTGTCCTGTAGCCACGCCCTAATCCATTTAAGGATATTACCTTTGATGCCATGTGCTTCTACCTTTCTAATTAGTCTTTCGTGGGGGACTCTGTCGAAGGCTTTGCTAAAGTCGAGATATACCACATCATAATTGTGCCCCTCGTCCACCGATTCGAAAACTGACGAAAAGAATGTTAATAGATTAGTTAGACATGAACGCCCGCTTGTGAAACCATGTTGGGAATCATTGATCTTATCTATACAGTTTTGTCTCCTTATCACGCCACTGACTCGCCTCACTTTACTAGCTAACCACAACCACCACTACTACTAACTATCACCATTACTATCTACCACCACCACCACCACTACTACTACTACTACTAACTATCACCATTACTATCTACCACCACCACCACCACCACCACCACTACTACTACTACTATTACTATCACCATTACTATCTACCACCACCACCACCACTACTACTACTACTACTAACTATCACCATTACTATCTACCACCACCACCACCACTACTACTACTACTATTACTATCACCATTACTATCTACCACCACCACCACCACTACTACTACTACTATTACTATCACCATTACTATCTACCACCACCACCACCACTACTACTACTACTACTAACTATCACCATTACTATCTACCACCACCACCACCACTACTACTACTAACTATCACCATTACATCTACCACCACCACCACCACACTACTACTACTACTATTACTATCACCATTACTATCTACCACCACCACTACACTACTACTACTACTATTACTATCACCATTACTATCTACCACCACCACCACTACTACTACTACTACTAACTATCACCATTACTATCTACCACCACCACCACCACTACTACTACTATTATTATTATTTAAGTTTGAATTAGGTTAAGTTCAATAAGGTTAGGTTATGTAAAGTTGTTAAATTAACCTAGGTCACGTGAGGTTAAGTTCATAAGGTTGGGGTTAGGTTAGGTGGAAGCTAGGTTAGGATTGGTTGGCTTCCAAAACTTACCCCGATGAAGCCAAAGGAACCCTAATTGGTTTCACTTACACTGCATACCTTCATACACCTTTTCCTCCTCCACCATGCACACCACACCCCCCTCCCTCCATGTAAACCCACACCCCTCCCCCACAGCCGCACCCCACCCCTCCCTCCTGTGCCTCCCCTACAGCCGCACCACACACCCCTCCCTCCCGTAGCCACACACCCCTCCCCCACAGCCGCACCTCACCTCCCCCCCCCCCCTACAGCCCCACACACCCCTCCCCTCCGCACACACCCCACCCCTCCCTCCCATCAGCCCCCCCACACCCCTCCCCCCCATGCACCTATACACCCCTCCCTCCTGCCACACCTCCCCCACAGCCACCCACACCTCCCCCCACAGCCCCCTCCTCCCCAGCCACACACCTCTCCCCCCTACCCACCCACACCCCCCTCACTCCCATCCACACACCTCTCCCCCTACAGCCACCTACACCTCCTCCCACAGCCGCACCTACACACCCCTCCCCTACAGCCCCTACACCCCTCCCCCACAGCCGCACCTACACCTCCCTCCCGCAGCCGCCACCTCCCCCTACATAAGAACATAAGAACATAAGAATGGAGAAACTGCAGCGGGCCTATTATTCACTGGGCAGTCCGTTTACACCCAACCCCTATTGCTCCATATGAGCATCCAACCTATGTTTGAAGCAATTCAGCGTATTCGAGTTAATGATGATATTTGGCTTGTTCCATTCATCCTCTCTGTTTCCAAACCAGTGTTTACCTATTTCACTAAATCTAAATTTGTCTAATTTAAAACCATTGTTACGAGTTCGCTCCTGGTTGGATAGTTTGAGTACCTTTGTAATGTCCCTTTGTTTAGCCCTGCCTTCCACTTATACA